GTAAAACCACACTGTTTACCAATAAATTCGTGAATTAATTCATGAAGAACTTCGTCAATTTATTCATGAATAAATTGTCAATGTAAAACAGCTATTATTAGTATTATTCCCTGACATCATTGGAATTGAAGCAATATTTATTACTTTTTTTTTCATCAGTTTTTAAAGATGTGCATTTTCTTATTTTTTGCGAAAAACATGTTCTACATCGCAATTTATGCGAAAGTTAAAGTTTATAAAATTAATAATAAATTTATAAATAATTTGTTAGTACTTTTTACCCGCGGTTTCTTAACTTACCTACGCATTATTATTATGAACGTTCTCTAATTTCCTGAGTAATTGATTTAGGGGATCACGACACGCTTTTTATTCACGGCGCATCGCATACGGTTTTTTTATTGGTTTTTTCAAACTTGGTGCTTGGGAAATGGATGAAATGTTTATGTTCGGATAAATCGATTTTTAGTTTAGTTGGATTGTGACTTGCGGTGTAGTATGTGATAGTCAAGACAACATGACTGCTTCGTATACGGAGATTATTTTGGCTGGTTGTATACTAATTTTGCCATTCTTATACGAATCAAGCCATGTATTTCGATATCACTTGAAATTTTTTTTGTATTATTCAATTGTCATGATAAATTCTGTTATCCTTATACCTGTATTTTGTCTTAATCCTTGGAATGTACGCAATCTTTTGTAAGGTAAAGAATTAAAATTGTTAATTTTGAATTAAATTGAATATCGTTTTAGAGTGGCATCGGATTTTTGTCATCACATATCTAGTTTGATTGGAATGAGATGGATTTTAAGAGGAAAGGAACATTTAGAAAAAGAGCAAGCTGCTGTTATTGTTTCCAATCACCAAAGTTCTTTGGATATCTTAGGTGGGTTGATTTATTATTGGCATAAAACATGTAAAAGCGTTGAGCATTCCAAAATATAAGGAAGTGTCCCTTAAAACGTTAATTTAATATGAATCATACAATACAGCAACAAAAAGCTTTGCCAAAGTAATAGGTAAATGTTTAATTTTTAGACTTAACAGTAGTGTTTTTTTAGGAATCTTTGATTTATGGCGTGTGATGGACAAGTGTACTATTATAGCAAAACAAGAACTATTTTATGCTTGGCCTTTTGGGATTGCTGCTTGGCTGTGCGGGATCATTTTTATACCGAGGGTAAAATCGGACACTGCTAAGGCTGTTATGAACGAAGCACTTAAAAAAATTAAAGCTGAAAAGGTAAGATTATAGAAATTTTAGTTTTACCTAAACTGTCTCGCATTTCTTATAAAACAAGATAAATACGGCTAATTTATAGTAATATTTTATACATCTGACCTAATTTATGATATCTACAGATTTCTGAAATATTTTTTTTATATCTCGGTTGAGATTAAATTTATACCAGATAAGTATTTATATCGAATAAATTAAGACCAGAAATGAAATACAAAATATGTTTTCACAGAATTCACCGTAACAGTTTAATAATAATTATATGTCTGAATATATTTTAACGAGTATAAAAATTATATTATTTTTTAATAATATTTTATTATGCGTACTCATTTTAAAATTATTCGAACTGAACCTATGGAAAAACATAACTTTTCAGTCGGAATAAATAAAATAAAAAAAAGTTAAATTGTATGTACAAAAACTTATTATTTTAAATGCTGATTAGTGATTTCAAACCTTTACACTGTATTTTTTAGAAACCACTTATTTTTTCTAGTTAAATTGTTATAAATTATCTATCTTAATTATTTTCTAACGAACTGAGTAACTATTGATTAGAATGATTAAATAAAAAGGTTTAATGTATTTCATATTTTCTGAAGTACGCAGTTAAAATATATGCTGTACTTATTATATGTTTTTTTATTACATTTTATCTAAATATTAGAACACGTGAACATAATATAGTTGTGAATGTCGTAATATTATGACAGTTTAAAAGAATGAAATAATTTTGCGAAATAACCCTTTATTTGAGACATAGGCGCCAAGTATAGAAGGGCTGAAGGGCTCTAGCCCCCGTAAAATTATTTAGGAGGGGCTCCACGCCAAAACTACTTACTGATTGGATGCATTTATACAGTGAAAGGAATAGTCATCATCATAATCATTAATAAATCATGAATACAAGACCAAAAAATATCCATAATAAAGAATATGACAAAACAAAAATATATTTATTTTGTGGCCAGACTAGCCGGCTGACCATCTGGCCCCCAAGGCCCACCCCAATAAAAAATCCTACCTACGTTCATGGAAACAAACCACAGTCTCAGTATTTTACTTTAATACAAATAGTTGTTTGTTTAATTTAATTTTCGCCTATACAGAGGCTGTTAACAAATACGCTTCTCACTACAGGGATCTCGGAAACGGTAAGAGGTACAAAGTAGCTTAAATAGGAGCAAAGTTACGTAATCAGGGGACCAACATTATGCCTCTAAAAAATCAAGGCTAACATGATTAGTTTTCGAAATATTTGAAAAAAAATCGAAATTTTGGAAATCCGTTTTTGTTTCATTTCACCCTTGTGATATTGAAAAAAGAAGAACACTTTCTCATGGCCACTTTTTGCCCTCTATCGATTGGTATAATCAATTTTTGTATGTAACGTTTCGTCTCTCCAGACCATCATCAATTTCATTTTTTTAAATACAACCCTAGAAATTTTATTACATTTTTTGCAAGTCTTCATAACCCCCAATACTGTACTGCCTCAGCCCGAACCAAATTCAGACATTTTGTCTCGAAAAATTCATCTTCAGTGTATTCGTTCCAAAATCTAAATTTTTTATTTAGGTTTCTTTGTTTATTGAATTATCGTACACTGTAAATGTGAAATCCATCTAGTTATTTAAACTATTACCACCACACGTTACAATAAAACATTTATTATTTTTAACTATTACCATCACTTGGTAAATACATAACTCAATAAGTTGTTGCGTCAAAATTAAAACATTATTACAATTTTAATTTTATTATGACAAATTAATTCTTAAAAATGCATATGAACAACCAAAACTCCAACTGAATATTATTCTTGAAAAAATGTCAGTAAATGTTCAAAAACATTTTCGTTTTGCAAACGTTGAAAATGAAGATCAGCGTAATATTATCGGAATTTATTATATCTGTAACCGCAACTGTGAAAGAGCATGTCAGATGTATTTGTATGAATATCCTGAAAAAAATAGATTGGAATTAGTTTGAATTTTGAGCACTCACGAAGCCTAGAAATAACTTAAGGACACGGAAATAAAACTCTTATAATGTTTTATTTTAATGTGTGGTGGTAATAGTTTAAATAACTAGATGGATTTCACAGGGTCTAACGACACTTACAGTGCACGATAATTCAATAAACAAATAAATCTAAATAAAAAATTTAGATAAATTTGGAACAAATACACTGAAGATGAATTTTTTGACACAAAACATCTGAATCTGGTTCGGGCTGAGGCAGTACAGTATTGGGGATCATGAAGGCTTGCAGAAAATGTAAAAAAATTTCCAGGGTCGTATTTAATAAAATTAAGTTGGAGAGACGAAACGTTACATATAAAAATTGATTATGCCATTCGATACAAGACAAAAGTGAGCATGAAAAAGTGTTCTTTTTTCAATATCACCTCAAACAAGGCTGAAATGAAACATAAATGGATTTCCAAAATTTCGGGTTTTTTCAAATATTTCGAAAATTAATCATGTTAGCCTTGATTTTTTAGAGGCATAATGTTGGTCCCCTGATTATGCAACTTTGCCCCAATTTAACTGTGACTACCGTTTCAAAGCCCAGCATCTATGATTTGAAACATTTTCTCATTTAATGATTGATATTGCTCAAATAAGGATTAGTGCACAAAATTTTTTATGATAGGTACGCGATTAATAAATTTTTTGCCGAGATAAATATTTTTTGATATATGACTTTCACTTGTGTTATCTACAGATTATTTCAGAATTATACTGATATGTCACAGCTAACCTGCGTAATATTATAATCGGTAGAAGGTCAGTATATTTAATTTTAATAGATATGTATACTTAGTGATCCATTTCAAATTTGAACACTCTTAAAAGTTGTATTTATTAATCGATTTTGACCATGTTTTTTTTTAAAGGTGTGATACCAAAAACTGTACTTTTGAACAAAACATCATATTTTATTAAAGCCTACCCTAATTTTTTTTTTTTTTGAGTTACAAATCAAGAAACTGTATTAACGATTTTTTTTATATAAAATCTGAATACACCTTTGAACTCAACTTCTAAATGGATATATACCGAATTTAATAATGAAAATATATATTTATTATTGCAGACAAAGTAAGCCAAAATTAATCTGTAATAATAAATTATTCACGATATTCTATTATTAAATTTATCTGCAAAACTTTCGAATTTTTTTATGACATCTGGTATACACCCATTTAAAAAGGTGTTGAGGATTCAAATTTTATATATAAAAAAATTAATAATACGAATTTATGAATTTTACTTCCAAAAAAGTTTTTTAAAAATTGCGATAGACCTTGATTAGTAAAATACGGCATTTTGCTCAAAAGCACAAATTTTTGCTTTCTACCTTTAAAAAAATTATCAAAATCGATTAATAAATACAACTTTTATCGTGGTCTTTTTTGAAATGTAACAAAAAAATTTGACCATGTGAACCTAAAAAGATAATAACTGTAAATATTGAGTCAATGAATTTGATATCGTTTTTATTAAGGAAATCACAAAAACTATAAGTTCCTTAAACATTATAAACAAATAAAATATTATAGATAATACAACTTGAACTTGAGATAAATTTTAAAGATTGTGTAAATTTTTATTTGATGATAACACATTAATAAACAATTATTGTGCAGTTTTCGCAACATCAATGTACAAAAAGTCCAGTTTTTTGACCGATGTTATTTTTAATTGCTGGTTCGTTTAATGAGATTTGAAAGGCGACCTTGTATGGAATCCTTCTTTTCCCATACCACTGTTTATTCAGTTACATATATTTACTATCACATATAGATAAGTATACTTTTAATTAAACGTTTTATGTTGACTCGTTGACATAATTAAATTTTATAGAAGTGCATTACTTTCTGACCATTATTGTAATCAATAGTCGGGCCTTAAATGATAGTTTATTTGTTACTAATGAGGACAATGACTAAGAAATGTATAAATTACCATTTTTACATGAGTAGGAGTTATTGATTATGTTTTACAATTTTAATAAATCAATATTAGTCTGAATAGATAAAATTGGTAATGTTATTGAGACCACATAGCAAAAATAATAAATGTTCATATTAATTTGAGGATAAAGATAATAATTATATATTTCGATAGATAAAAAAAATACTTCCTTCGAAATATTCAATAAAATGCATAATACTTGGTTTTATTGTTTCAAAATTGTAGGTTTACTAACTTATACTTATTTTAAACTTTGAGAAGAATAAGTTTATATGACAGTATATAATTAATAATACTAAATAAAATAGTACTAGACATGTAACTTTATATATTTTGAAGAAAAACTTACCAAAATAACCTGTTTATTTTTTTATAATAGTGGTCTTCTATGTATATATGTACTTATTTAACCAATTATTATGACGATTCATGGCGTGCTGTAATTTTTTTCTTTTTTAGAAGTGATCTTTCGGGAACTTACTAGAGATTTTTTAAATGAAAATCTAGTTACATAGTAGCATCACTTAAATCCCCAGTATCTAAAATTTTATAAAATTATAACCCAAAATATTTTTTATAAAGGTTTAAAGTTGAAATTTATGTAGGAGGTATTGGAAATGACCGAAGATGAAAAATTACTGACAACTTATTTATAACTGCCAAATAATAATCTCCTTTTGGATAAAAAAATTTAACAATTTCAATATATAAAATATCCCAATGTCAGTAATTTTTAATTTTCAGGCATTTTCAATGCATCCTAGATTTAAAAACTGAAACAGAACCAATAAATTTAAAACTTTAAGCATGTATAAAAAAAGTCTGTAATATAAAAAGTGATTTTCCAAAAAATATCACAGAAAATGGAGAAGATCTATAAATCATCGCTGTTGCTTCCACTAGTATATATCGAAGGCCACTATACATTTAAATTGTGCGTCCCTAAAAAATTTTAGAGGGATATCCTTATGACTAACGTGATTGATTTGAATGCCTCACAAGCATTAATATCTTTGAATTTTAGACAAAGTTGTGGATATTTCCAGAGGGAACTAGAAGAAACGACGGCAAAATTCATCCCTTCAAGAAGGGCGCCTTTCATTTAGCCATATCAGGACAGTTACCTATCATCCCAGTGGTATACAGTCGGTATTACTTTTTAGATAAAAGTGTTAAAAGATTTGACCATGGTAAGTACAATTCTACTTATTCAAGTATATTTACTGGTTTACATCACTCTTTAAATGTATATTAATTTATTTCTTTCCTGTAATCACAAAAAAATGTATTTTACAGATAAAATGTGCTTCATATTTAAACAATATATTGCCTTTATGATGTTTGTCCTTAATTATTTGTAAAAATATATTCTAACGAATAGAAGATACCTTATTAGTATATGAGCCCTGACAACTTGACAACTATATTATGTTCGGGCAAGACCAATTATTTGATAAAAATAATATACATGAGAAATAAACATTTCACATATGGTTTTAGATTTAAACGTAGACACATGAGTAAATAACGTTTATGCTTATATGGAATTATACAACTATAAGCTTGAAACTGCTGGATATTTGGAACAATTTTTCAAAAGTGTCACAAATTATTAGCCTGTCTGAACATTTAGTTACCAGCAAATTATTTATTGTTTACTTTTGATTTTGTAGTACCTATTATAAGTGTATATTGGTAGTATAATTACGCTTAAGCACAAAAGTTAATTTCTCCTGCCTCTATATTTGTAAATATACCGGCTGTTACAAATTCGCTTCTCACTACAGGGATCTCGGAAATGGTAAGAAATACGAAGTAGCTTAAATGGGGCAAAGTTGCATAATCAGGGGACTAACATTATGCCTCTAAAAAATCTAGGCTAACATGGTTAGTTTTTGAAATATTTGAAAGACACGAAATTTTGGAAATACGTTTTTGTTTCATTTTAGCCTTGTTTGAGGTGATATTGAAAAAAGAAGAACACTTTCTCATGGCAACTATTTGCCCTCTACCGTCATCAACTTCATTTTTTTAAATACGACCCTGGAAATTTTATTACATTTTTTGCAAGCCTTCATGACATGAAATAACTAGGTGGATTTCACAAGGATTAACGACACTTAGAGTGTACGATAATTCAATTATCCTATAATTCAAGAAACAAGAAATCTAAAAAAAAATTAGATAAATTTGGAACAAATACATTGAAGATGAATTTTTTGAGACAAAGCATCTGAATCTGATTTGAGCTGAGGCAGTACAGTATTGGGGGTCACGAAGGCTTGCAAAAAATTTAATAAAATTTCCAGGATTGTATTTGAAAAAATGAAGTTGATGATGGTCCTGGGGAGACGAAACGTTACATATAAAAATTGATTATACCATCCAATAGAAGGCAAAAAGTTGCCATGAAAAAGTGTTCTTCTTTTTTCAATATCGCCTCAAACAAGGCTGAAACAAAAATGGATTTCCAAAATTTCGGTTTTTTCCAAATATTTCGAAAACTAATCATGTTAGTCTTGATTTTTTAGAGGCATAATGTTGATCCCCTGATTATGCAACTTTGCCCCCATTTAAACTACTTCGTATCTCTTACTGTTTCCGAGATCCCTGTAGTGAGAAGCGAGTTTGTAATAGCCTTTCTAGTCGTCAGGATAGTCCTGGGAAATTAACATTTGACCGCAGACAAATTCCCTCCAAGCTAAATTTTTGCACAGATATTCTTTGAGGTGTCTCAAACCCAAATTCACAAAAATCACATCTCTACCCAAGAGATTGAAGGTCCAAGTTTTTTGCAAATATCTCGCATTCTATGCATCAATACATCCATAAGGTCAACGATTTAATTTTATCTACAAGATCAGTCTCTTGCTTTTTACTGAAACCTCGCCCTTTTCGAGCCTGAGTTCTTGCATTAGGCAAGAAATCATAAATCTCGCATTTCAAGAAGGAAGAAGTTTTGGAAAAAATGCAGGTCAATCTTATACATAATATCTTTTCTTATTCCATGATGTCCAATGCATTGAGCGCGAGATATTCGACCTTGAATAACTCGAAAAGGGCAAAGTGTTGGGAACAATTGACATCATATGGATGTCCGATACATAGAACCCGAGATATTTGTAGAATTTTGTGATTTTTGTGGATTTGGGTTCGGGACAGCTCAAAGAACATCTGCAAAAATTCAGCTTGGGGGAATTTAATCGAGGTTTCCTCCTTTTTTCGTTGAATATCCTTGGGCTAGGACTCATATTTGTTCGTTTCAAAAACATATTTCTTTCTGATTTTGACATTTTTTAAGGTCATTCTAAACAAACTGAACAAAAAAATAAAGAAATAAATAGGGAATATGTTTCCAGGTAAAGTTCTAATTACGGCTTTGCCGCAAATAGAAACTAAAGGCATGACTTTAGATGACATGGGGTCGCTAATGGAAAAAGTAAAAAATGTTATAAGTACAACATTTCACGAAACCAGTAAAGAAGTCGTAGAAGGTCTGAATCCAATCTCTAGTCAGAAGTAAAGTAAAAGACATATTTTACATTGCATTTATAAGATAATAAATATTACATTATTTCTGATTTCAAAGTATCTTGAGTGAAATACTATGATGAAATTGGAAAGTTTTGATATAAGCACTTTGAGAGAAAGATTTCTAATATTTTCCTACTTTTGGTAAGAAATACTGTTCTCCTGTCAGTCTCGAACAAGTCATTAATATTATAATAAAATCGTGAAAATTAAAATTGTGCAATGTTTCAAAGAATAAGTTTGTTCTCGCTTTGATGAAATTGTTTCTGCTGCTGCTGATATTTTATATTTTTTATGATAGGTGCAAAAATTTGTTTTTAACAATGCATCAATTGTAATCACAAATATTAGCATTATATGTCATTTCATTTAGTAACATTTTCAGATTTTTTAATGCAAAGTATGTATTCATATACATAGATACTACACTTGCAGGGGTAACACCATCTTAAAATTCTAAAATAAAGAATTTTTTAATGGAATGAAAATTAAGATGAAAATAATATTCAAGGATCTCATTAACCATGTCTTTAAGTTTAAAAAATTATTCATAAATGGGGCAAAAGATCGACGCTGGAATCATTCTCGAAAGGCACGTTGCATTTGAAGCGATCTTGAGCAAATTTGAATTAGGAAAAAAACAAAACAAAATTCTTTTAATCTACAGTAGTATGGCTAGAGGACATAGGGGATTTTAAAAACATTAATTTTTGTGTGATTGGCGAGCATTTGAAGTAAAAAGATCAATTTTTGGCATAAATAGTGTTAAAATCAACTTATCGAAAATCCCTTATGTGCTTCTCTTTGGAATGTTTTTTAAAGACATTGATTAAAATTTGGAGGTAATAGAATAAAAAATGTTGGAATTATGTTGTGTGCCGTTAGAAAAAAATCGTGTTTTTTGAAAAAAAAAAAACACCCAAACTTTTGAGGTATACGCAATACTAACGTTCTTTTGTTTCTAACGACATCTGTCATTATATTAAAGAAGCTAGAAATCAAAAGTTCATTAGACTGTAAGCTTCCAACAGGTATCTATGTGACGCAAGTAGTCGTTTCGGAACAGCCCGATGCACTTGGGAGAGCCCGGAATTTCAAAGAAAAAAATTTTGTACTGGCATAAAACTTTTTTCCTTATTCTAGAAGGTTCAAGGCATCTTTTAAATAAATGAAAATCGGGATTTTCTGAAAATTATAGTGGTTTTACCCCTCGAGTACACAAAATGGTTAAACTGCGGTTTGTGTACATATCAAGTATTTCTATACAATATTTTTACAAAAATTGTGTGCACCATTAAAAAGTCATGAAAAATAACCCATAATTGACAGTATTGAATCATATTGATTTTAGTCAAAAAAAAACGAATGCATTTTTTTATAAAAAGTTAAGTCGCATTACTGTGGTATTTTAAAATTGGACGTTTTTATATAAAAAAAGTTGGGGCAACTGTATTTTCAATATCTAGTCAATATACTTTGAAATTAATTATTTCTAGTGTCATTTTCCAACACCAACGTTGTGATTGGTCTAGTATTCCTTTGGCTGTTATTCATTTCCCAAATATTTTTATACCATTAACTTGTTGACCGCCATAAGTACATTAATTTTATAGACTTTACATTTAAAAAATTAAGTGCTGTGTAAAGGCAGTCAGCTGGTTAATAGGTTTTTACAGTTTTAAGTTTTTTTTTTAAATGATTGACTATATTAATTTTATAATTTTTATATATAGTATTCTCCTTAATAAGACAATTATAAGTATTATTTTATAAAGCAAAAACGAAACTGCATTAATATTGTGTTGTATTATTAGTTTGCATGTTATGATATTTTGAAGAGGTGTCACGTGTGGACTATAATCAATTTTTACACCATAAATTGTATCTTCTATTTTAAACAGAAAAAGTCTGTAAAAAGTGTCTTAAAGCAATTGTTTAGTATCACCAAAAATTTTCTAAGGAACTTTATAATTGTCATACATTTCAACATCATAAAATTTATATGGCACTAATTCCTTAGTTATAAATTTCTATATATTTAGTGTTTGTTTATGTACCCAGTTTATAAATATAAAGCTTTTGTAAAATTATCTTGTTTTATTTAAAGTATCATCATGATTGTAGAACATTTGAGGTCATTGTATTTAAATTAACACGTTTTGATAATGTTGTGCTTACAATAGGCTCTTATTTATTTGCATGAGAGTAAATAATCTAAAATCTCAGTTTAAAAACATCATTACGATTATTGCTGGTACACTTCTTGGATAAGCTTCAGAAATTTATGATATACTACAAGAATGCTACTTTGTTAAATAAATAAAAATTTAAAAAATAATTACAATAAATTTCACTACATTTTTTATTTAATACATTATGGGACATTTTTTACAAAATAAATCTTTTCAAAAATTGGAAAAATAGTGTTTAGGTTTTAGGTATTAAATAAAAACATGAAATATTTGAATTTCAAAATTTCATATATAGGGTGTCCCGAAATTAACGCAACAAAAATTTAGTCAGATTCTTATAACAAATTTAAGGGACCTGTATTTTTTATTTTCGCCAAGTGGCCCCCTCTTTTGGAGTTAAAGCCCCCTAAAGTCCACCCCTAAGAATAGTCTTTTTTTATATCTCGGAACCCTGTTGTACGAGAATCACTCAATTTGGTACACAGGTGTATTTCGTAAAACGCAATGTTTTCGAGGAAAATGGAAAATCATGATATGCCTCTTTGCCATTTTTATCGAAAACATTTGCGTTTCAAGAGACAAAAAGTTTCTATAATCAATTGCTTTCTATCGGACTAATAATTTCTAGGAAATTCAAATATGCGACCAAATTTTTTTGGCTCCAAAGGCAAAGGGGTCCACCAGAAAGTGTCTTAAAGGGGTTCCCAGCCAAAAAGCGTGGCACGATCAGATTCCACATCATAAAACCCCTGTGTACCAAATTTAGTGATTCTCATACAACAGGGTTTTGAGATATAAAAAGACGGATTTCAAGGGGTTGTAACTCCGAAAGAGTGGGCCACTTGGCAAAAATAAAAACTACGGGACCCCTAAATTTGTCTTAAAAATCTGTGACCGCGCCATTATTCCATGGCTAGAAATTGGCCTCAATGATTTGGGATCGAGGGGGATTATCCCTCTTTATCCTGCCTCATCTCGTGTAGGCCTGGACAGCCTTCGTAGGTGGGCCCCATCCGTCGTCTACCCCGACCGCAAATGCAGCCGGTGTAGGCGCTTTGTGGGACCTCCTTTTGTCCTGGCTGGGCCCTGCCGGTTACGGCCCTTTCTTCTGGCGCTCTTCTTGCTTCGCCGGCTCGTCTGTGTAAACCCCGGGGATGGTGTAATGTTTATGTGTGGTATGGTTGGGTAGGGTAGTGCGGCTATGCAGCCTGGGATGTGCTTTGCTAAGGTGGCCCTTAGGCATGCGCGGGAGGGGAGGGGTAAGAAGAATATGAGGAGTGTGTATGTGTGTGTCGTTATCTTCGTTTCTTGATCCTGGCTGTCTTTGAAACAGAAAAGGGTAGCGGGCAGAGGGGGGATGTCGTTGGGGTGGTCACTCAGGGTCAAAAAGTTGGTGTCTAGGTCTTTTGTGTTTGTCATGATTGTCTAGCGGGTGCGTCAAACCGTTTCTCCGCGTTTTGTCTTATTGTCTGTGTAGCGTTTGTGTATTGTAAGTCTCGTAATATGTCAGTGTTTCTTACGTACCAGGGCGCGTCGGTGGCCGTGCGGAGGGCTATGTTTTCCACAGCCTGTAATGACTTTAAGTGGCTTTTTGCCGCGTGACCCCACGCCGTGGAGGCGTAGGTTAGCTGCGGTTGAAGTACCACCTTGATAAGCGTTCGCTTATTCCTTAAACTGAGGGTGTTTCCACCTTTGAGTAAGGGATAGAGCCTAGCCCTGGTGGTCTTCGCTCGCGCCACCGTCTCCACGATGTGCGGTTTCCACGTGAGACGCTGGTCCATCGTCACGCCCAGGTATCGTGTTTGTCTATTCCAGGAGATGGGTTCCTGGGATAGTGTCAGTCTGTCGAGATTTTGTGGGATTTTTCGTTTGGTAAAAAGGATAGCCGAACTTTTGTTGGGATTAATTTTGACTTTCCACCTGTTGCACCAGAATCTGTGACCAATTTTATGCATTAATTTCGGGTCACCCGGTAGTGAGAGAACGTAGAAACTTCAATCTCTACGCGTCATCTACTGGTAGTCCAAATGATCTAAGAAATTATTCTGTTTATTTTCCATCATTCTTTAACGAATTTATGCAATTATGAAAAACTGTTGAAAATTATTAAACAATTCTATACAGAATTTACACTGTCCGAAGTTTAAGTGATATGAGTATCTTGGATTGTAGCTATTATTTAGTAGCTCCAGTGCGCACAATGGCGATTTAACAGTAGTTCAATTTAGCTTAAAATGATCGAGTGATCGGTAGTTTCCCATTTCAATTCAATTTCAAACTTAGTTTAACTTTTATGTCCACAGTATATTGACATGCCAATAAAAACGAATTATTTCAGTCCTATCCACAAGAGGTAAATTTTTCGTATGAATAAAAAATATTCTAGATTTTAAATGTCTAGGTTTGATTTTGGCGTACCACTTGAGGATATTTTTCCTCCAAATGACATTCATCCTCGATTAAAGGTAAGTAGGTATTTCTTTATTTTGTATTTTTAACAAGTTATTTCAAATTAATTTATTTGCTCTCCATTATAATATAGGATTTTATTTATGTTTTATATATATTCCAGCATGTATTTGAAGAGGCCTATAAATTGTATATAAATAATAGGGTTACTATAGAACAAGTAGTAAGGTACACAAATTTAATTTTAAAAATTCCAAAATATTAATAAAATTATCTTTCAGACAACTACAAGGATCTCTAGAGACAAGATTTAAATTAAAACATAAAATAATTTATGATGCTCATTATGATATAAAACCAGAAAATATCGAACAAACTCCAGGAGCATATTTTTGGTTGATTCGACATTTTTTGGGTTTGTTACCTATACCCTTGTTACCAACATATTCTCAAGAAATTCGATTTGATTGGACCGGTCTATCAGAAAAATGCAAGAACTTTTTACAATACTATGAGAGTCATCGAGATAGAAAACATCAACTCGATTACGAATTTGCAGAGTAAATAAACTTGCGTATTGTTTTCCTATTTTTCCCTACTACTACTTAAAATAAGTAGAAAAAGAAATGTTTTAAAACTAATATTTTTAGGAATTTAAACTTACTTCCATTTGAACACTTTCTTCTATTGACAGTATTGATTCACTTCATTCGAAAATTATCAAATAATAAGGGTTTTCAGGGACGAAAACTTAATAGAAAGATATTGTTGTTCCTTTGCAAATATTATTGTGGCTCCATTTGTGTAAGACCTTATACACCAGGTCATAAAGTAAGAATCATTTTTCTCTACAGTATTAAAATATAATTTATTTTTCTTTTTAGGATGGTAAAATGTTTCCCCTATTTTTCTACATTACGCTCAGGTGGCCTGCAATAGAAAAATATTGCAGACAAATTGGTCATCCAGCCTACTTTTTAGAAAGCAATTTGAATTACAATACATGCACAAATTTTAGCGTAAGAGATAATTGGGTGCAAACAAGCAATTTTTCACCGGAAATAATAACAATTTATAAAAACGTGCCATATTTTTGTGATAATATTTATCTGAAAGATACTGGTTCTCAGACCGAACAGGCTAATTTTGTTGATAAATGTATTCAGAATTTAGAAACTGCTTTTGAGAAAGATATGACCTGTGTAAATTTAAAACACGAAAAACTGTCAAATCCAGAAAATAGTTCATTGTATCCTTCAATAGTAGATCTTAGTTCCACCCTGAAACAGGATGAAAATTTGATTCAGAAAGCTTCATCTACTCCAATAAATGAAAATCAAGGTAAAAAACTGGATGACAATGCTGAATTAAACTTTTTAAGCACAGACAACGCCTGTGATAAAGTAGAATGGAGTGAAGTAGTGGCAGAAACAGCTGTTACCGTCAAAAAAGTAGAAGAATATATTTATGATGACTATGACACTTTTAATAAAGAAGAATACAATCAAATATCTGATGGCAGTAAGAGTAAGTCACTTCTATAATGTCTCTGAAATTCAAATAAATATTTTATAAGGGAAATTTACCAGTAATCGTCAGGTTAAGGAAAGTTCATTATATTGATTTTGCCAGGTCCAAACTTTTATAGGCATTAATTTGTCAAACTTAATTTCTTAAATGTATTTGCCTGCATATTTTGAAAAAATATGTAGCGATTAATCACAAATATTACCAATTTTATCCACAAACTGAATTTTATATGTGTGACCATCATTTATTTAATGTTTATTTTGTTAATTATAATAATAAATAAGTAAATAATGGTCACTGCTAAAAAAAATTCAGTCAGCAAACATAAATAATTTTGCAATTTATAAAAATTTAATTAATTCAAGAGAAACAATAAACCATCTCATTAGTACTTCCAGAAGGTTACATCTTTTATGTACCCACCACATGAAGAAAATATGATCTTTTAGATACACTGTGGTTATTTTTAGGTATGTATATGTCTTATCTCAATATTTTACAGGTAGAAACTCTCTTATGCATAAAGTGTCCAAAATCGGTTGGACTTATACTCCTGAAAATAGTGCTAGAGAAAAAAATAAAGAGTGTAGCACTAACCATAGTGAACTGGATGATACATATGTTAGATTCGAAGATGTGTTTGATGAAAACGGTAAATATAAATCTAATGGTTGTGACGACAGTAATGAATGTGAAGTTAAAGGCAAGGGCTTAAATATTACCTTTAAAAAGTGTTATGATTCCAAAATCCCTTTATGTAATAACAGTTCTTTAAGATCAGCTAATAGTGCATATGGAAACGAAGGAAAAAGTAAGAAAAGCTTGAATTTTAAAAGGTTTAAGTTGAAGTTAGATTTCTTGAAAGTTCTGACTCCAAAAAAAAGTACTTATTCGACTCCTAGTTACGACAGCATCGAAAGCAAAGTAAAATACAAAAAAATTAAAAACATTAAATCTAGTACCCTTTGAAATATTATACTATTTATGTTCATGTATATTTTATATAATGTAGTAAAGAGTATTTATTTTGTTAATTTGTGTCTATATTTTATTTCAAATATTCCTTTATATCATATAGCAGTCTTTCAATATAAAACAATTCAAAAATCTGTTCCATTTTATTATTTATAATTTTATCTTATATTTATCATCAGACATATTTAATTAAGAACATTGAATAAAAATAATAATAATAATAATAATAATAATAATAATAATAATAATAATAAGTAAAAGTAAGTCCTCACAGTCGTGAAATTCGCTACTTTAAAGGATGGAATATTTAGTCCGATCAATCTACATTGAAAGATCCATAAATTTACAAGAAGCTGAAAGTGAGTAAAGTTGTTCAAAACATAATTAAAAATAACATATTAAAATTCCACATCGTTCCGGTACTCGGAAAAAAATTTACTCGAGGTCAAAAGTAAAAAAAAATGGGTTTTTCGTGATTTTCAGCTAAACGGTAAGTTTTATCGTAAAATTACCTCAGACAAAAATTGTAGATCATAAAATTATCTATAAAAAATGTATCGATACTTTTTTCCTAAGAACCGAAAATTCCGCATCCAAATCCAAGATTCCCTTTCCTCCACCCGTCCCATGGAGGCCGGTGTCCCCCAGGGCACCGTCCTGTCCCCACACCTATACACCATTTACAACTCCGACATCCCACATCCCCCCAACACCAACATATACTTATACGCCGACGACCTGACAATCACATCCCAATCCGTAGATCCTAGATATTCCGTCT